TCCTAAGAGGAAGGTATTCTGTCAGACAAAGAGATTTACAAACAATGTTTGACAGGGATTAGCAAAGGGTATCCAACACCTCCCCCAAGTGATTCCTGGTTTTAACTACACTGGCCGAAATTGTTGACAAACCCGTTTTATTGAAGCAGTGCATAACTGAAAGGTATATAAATGAACCACAAACAGCTTTTATAAGCCTCAAAGAGTTTATTCTGGATCTGAAGAATCAATTAGTCTTTTGCTAGTTTGAGTTTTAAAGCGGTGAAGGTGAGTTTAATAAAAGGCAGTTCTCTATTAATTAATATATATTTGTTTCAATTCCTAAAAAGTTTAACATAATAAGCAGCAGAGTTTATTAACCAGCGAATTTACTAAGCAGTAGGCATTTTAGTATTAAAATAAATGTATTGCATATAAACGGAGTTATTTCAATGCCGAAGGTCTCGTAAAATTTAACAAACTCTCCTGACGACACATTGACTTTTTTTATCTCGTAAAATTTATTCATAAGTTAATATTTTTTTTATTCCTTGTTTTGTAGCTATATCGTATTACTCATTACTGTCTATGTTGTCCAAATTTTGTAACCCTTTCCCAGCTAAGCCGAGGTTCTCTTTCAAGATTGCACTTGTCAAGCTTTTCTGGTGGATCATGATCTGAGGTGTCGGCTTCTTCAACTAACGTATCTCTATAAGCTCATCGATGGTCAGCTCTTTCCTGTGTGAATCCAACAACTCATTGACATTATTACTATCAGCTTCTAAATTTAATTGTCTCGCAAAATTCAAAAATTCTGCTTTTCTGGCATTTTTTTTTCGTGTTGTTTTTGAAAAAAAAAAAAGGGGGGGGGAAATTTTCTTTCAGATAACATTCAAGGTTTTTTGGGAAATTCATTCCAAGATTCTTCGACGATTCTTACGGCTTGTAAAACATCAAATTATATAGAGTAGTGGTCTCAAACTCAAATTGCATTCAGGTCAAATGCATGCTTTAAAAACAAATGACGCGTCAGAATTGTTTTTAATAAAATTTAAATTTTTATCAACAAAATAAAAAATACTTAAGAAAATTTTAAATTTCGCTTATTAAATAATTATCAAACTTAAACAGTAATAATAACAATGCAAAGGGAAAAATTCAAATTTATATTTATTTTTCACCCAAAGTCCTGGTTTGGTTCCTGCAAGACATTTTTGTTGGTTACACTTGTAATTCAAGCATACTGACGGTTAAATATTAATGTTTAAGACTGACATTTATTTCAAATAATTATGATATGTTTAATTAATCCTTAGATAAGTTTTCAGAGAAAACTTTCCAAGTGGGACCATACCTGAGGATAAATAATGACAGCCTAGGGTCTTTCTTTCATGTATTAGATATTTTGACACTTAAAAATTAAAATACATATATTTATATTTAAATAATTATAAACTATTTTATTTCTTACCACAGCTTGATATTTGATGGCGTATCGATTCTGCTAAAGTTTGTAGTCTTGGGGGAAAATTAATAGAAAGTATCTTCATAACGTATTTTAGATGCTCAGTGGTCCGTCGGGTTCTTTCCTTATAAATTTCAAACTCTGAAAAAACGCTCTTAGATATGTATTCATAAACTAAGCGATTATTCCTTGAAAAAATTTGTAATTGAAGGTCTTTATTATTTGAAAAATACGAATTAAAGTTATTCAAACCTGTATCTCCAAGTCAATGAATGAGATTTATATCACACTGTAAATTAGTTAGCCAAGTTTATGGATTTTCTTGTGGTTAAGGATCGGGCGAGTACCATTAAGGTTTATCAAAGCTATGGAACAAAATACATCAGTTATGCTTTAATCGGGACCATGGATTTTCCAGTTGCTAGCTGGATGTTCTAACAATTACATCGCGAGAGCAAACACGGGGAATATGATAATTCCTTGTAATGTTAATAAATATGAGAAAATATTAGTTTCCAGAGTAAAGAAGGTTGTCGTAAATATTTAATTTATAGCTTAAATTACCCGAATACGTTTTTTAATCAGGAAGCTATAAATGATTAGAATAAGCTCATCTATGCTTTAATTGTTTGAACCCACAATAACAAGAGGATTATCGTTTCTAGTTTTAATATTGTATGTTTATAGGAACATGTATGATGATATACATATTTATAAATGCCACTTTATCGGTGCTACAATGACAGAGTTCGGATGCTAAGGCATTATAGACAGACGTTTGTGACTCCAAAATGCTGAACTAAAAGTAGGAGACCGGAAAATTCGTCTACCTGTGGTTTCTCCGAACGGTTTGAAAGATTGCAAGATTATCGAATTTCATGTTACTAATGCAGCGGTCTTCAAATTTTGCAGAAACCCATAACACTTTAACTTTTATTATTCTGAATTCTTACATCATTAGAAAAGCTAAGAATATCATTGGAAATATTGCTTCCTCGTTAAGTCATAAGCGTAAAGAAGGTAACTGTTCCGTTATAATTTTACCAATAAAATAAATATTTTAAATAATAATGACAGTACAAGTAACAAATGAGCAGTTTTATTTAATTCATAATTTTCGATGTTTAGCTCCGTGGCTCACACAGTATTAGAAAATTCTCTCGAATTTTGATTTTGACTTGCGGAGTTCTTAGAGCAGTAGCACGGAAACTTAGGATTTCGTGAATCGCTGTCGTAGGATGTTCTAGATCACAATCGGATAGAGATGGGCAAAATATATAATCATTACTCTAGTTTAAGTTCAACGAATTATCATTTAGTAACTCATAATTATTCATGGAGTAATTCGCATTTAAGAATTAAGCATAAGAATAAATAATAACACACACGTAAAAATGAAGATAGATAAAAAAATTACAGCGGATGAAAGAAGTGAATTTTTCATAAAAATTCTTCTTAACTGACAAAGGAATTTCGTGTCATTAGAAATATTTAGCAAGTAACTAATGTGATTAAATGGTAAAATTAACAAAATAAATAAATAAAAAATATAAAAGTTTTCTTTCTTCATTTCTATTTTCTTATTATTGTAAATTTTAAAATTATATGCCTAGTTGACAATTTAGGAGTATTATTTTTAGCTTAACTTTTTTCTTTTTTAACAGACCGTTTAACAATTTCTGTTTTAATACGACGTAATTAAATTATCCCATCCGCACTGATTACTAATTATTTTTAAGGATAGTATTGTTGATTGAAAAAAAAAGCTACTTTTTCTCGTTTTCATGCTAATTAAGGAGCTTATTTAGACCTTATAAATTCGCGGTTATCTTTAGTGTCCTTCCAGTTTCATTATCTAATTTTTTTTCTTTTCTTTTATGAGATGGAACCTAATTTACTATCGAATTTGCATTTGGTTAACCCTTTTTGTTTCGAAGAATAACCGTCTTCGCCGTGTAAAGAAATCTAACTAAACAGCAGCAACACTGAAGGAGAAAATTTAGCAATTAAAAAGTTTATTATAACTATATCTTGTAGCTCAACTAAACATTAATTATTAGTAGTTATAGCAAAACACAGTAAAGCATAAAATGTAACTTTTGCTTATTAACTGTGCTCATGAAGTGGAGATTCCAACAGATACAAATGCTTGCTTACCAAAACCCCATGTCGGCTAAACGGGATGCACATCTGACATGCAATAATGGGTGATTGCCACAGTAATCTTTTTGAAAACATATTTGTTCACTATTTAAACTCAAACTAATTTGGATTCTGGTGAAGACAAACGGAAGAAATAATAGATACAGAAAAGCATTACCATAAAAATAAAAGTATAATCTGAAACAAACCGTATAATTTACACCGCACATTTAGAGATTCTTTTGTCTCGGCTTTGAATATACGATATTTTCTCTTGTTTGACTTTACTGACACTTTTCAAATTTTATTATATGCTTGAAATTTTACTTTGCTTTTTGGTTTTACGTAACTTTGCTTTTGCAGTTTATATTCTCTTTCTTTACTTCTTGTTTTGCATTCCATCATTACTGATAACAATTATTTATTTATTATTTTTCATGCTTATTTATTTATTAATTATCGAAATTCCTTGGTTATTTATTGTTTATTATTATATCATTAATGTTACTTATAACGTGTTTTATTTTTCCTTTTGTCTTATATTTTGTCTCCATATTAACATAAGAAAGGAAGTCAGAGAGTGTTCATTAGATTGATATTAACACTTCCAAAAACTGAAAAGTGTAACTAGGAGTTAGGCTATATTTAGATTTCTTTATTCCCATCTCTAGTGCTTATTAAATAAAATTTAATGCAATTCTTTTGCCAGTTAGCCCTGTTATTTGATTCGTCATCTGACATATAATTAATTTCCGCCGGGATATGCGAGGTATTCATTCGTCATGTACGATGACCTCTGAGGCTGACGGTGATAGTACTGCTTGACTTTGGAAAGAATGTCCCACTTGCGTACGTCCTATTTGAAATAACTAAATATGTAATTATACGGGTTGGGTCGAAAATGGGTCAATTTGATAACTTCAAAGAATGTGCAAGAATCCATCTTCGGTGATGAAGGGTTTAAAAATTAACATATTTATTACAAATTCTAATCAGCAGTGTAACATTTAATATTAAAAGGTTACCGAGTTCTCCTTTTCGAAAACTTTTAGGAAAGGGGAAAATTTCCCATTCATAGGTACAGTAAAATAGTTTCGCAATAAGATTTCAGAATGAACAGAATGAAATGAAATATGAAAAATATGAAATTACATAGAAGTAGAATTTTATAATGATTATCCTAACAGAACTCGAGCAGCGATAATATGTATGTTGATAATAAGCTACGGAAAGTCTATATTATATTTTATTAACAAGTATCTTTCAGCTGTTAGCAAATGCAGCAAATACTTATTTGGTAAAATTTAGTACCTGCAACTATTACAGTTTTAAAACAATATACCTGAAGTTTCCTGTATTACTTGTATTTTAAAAGTTACTTTTTACTTTTACTACTAATTATTTTTTATTGCAGTTCTAATGTATAAAAAGGACTTGCATCACAACATTTCCTGATACCACATGCAGAGATGAATTTCCTTTTCTTGTTAAGAGCGATCTGAAGAAGAAACAGGTGTGGGTCAAGGTCACTTGGAGGGTAATTCACCCACTTTCGCAACCAACTGAAAAGCTTGTATTTAGAAAGTTAACAGATGAAGTCAGAATTATCTAAAACAAATTTGTAAAATTTTTCTTAATAAAACGTCTTTTTCCTCAAATGCTTAAATTTATTGAAACTAATGTCACATTTGTTATATTTCCCGTATAGAAAATCCTTGGGTTACGCATGAGATACGTTCCTGAGAGCATTCGTAAATTGGATCGTTACGCATGTATAGCAATGCATGTACAATTACAATTCCTAAGTCAGAATAAACGCACATACAGTAAAGATGGTGATGCTAATTAATGACAATAAATGAAACCCTATGGCAACTGATATCTTATAATAATATTCTAAATGTAACTAATAAATTCAGGTAACCTAAATATTAGTATTTCATTGTACTCAATTTATTAATATGCGTTCATTAATTACAACTGAAATAAAGTAGAAAAGCCTTTTTGTATTTTTCCACTGTAGTCTAGTATTGCTAATAATATGAACGTGTGTGTGTGTGTATGATTATGGCAAAGCCTCGAGGGCTATCTGCCTCAGGGGAGGGATGCCTTCGTGGAGGACTTTCTAAGGGAAACTGTCTCGTATACACGTTACACATGGGGAAAACCACGAAAACGCCCATGCAGCCAGCCCGTTCGCGGGATTCGAACCTCGGACCGAACTACCAGTGTTCAGCGACTTTACCGCTCGGCCGCTGGTGGGCCAATAATATGAACGATAACTGTTTATTAGTATGTAATATTCAACTTTGGTACTTTGGAGTCATCCCCGCCGTGATGGTATATAATTCCGTTTGGTTCATGTCCGTGATCGGAAGCCATCATAGAGGTGCACTCACTCACTCACTGATTCTTTTTGTTGTTGTTGTTTGTTTGCTCACATGTCAATATTTATACGTATATCTCTTGTTCGAACCCCGTTCGTTGATTTGCCGTTAATGTGATACATAGAAGCAGATAAAGTTAATCAAATAAGTTCAATTTGTTTTCAATTTTACATTGGGAAAAGTGAAGAAATGTATAAGAGACGTCTTTAAAGATAACATTGATCTAGATTTTTATGTTCCTTATCTTTTAAAGCATTAGTACTTTGCCTTTGCAGATATTATTAAACTCTCTTGATATAAATATTTCTTAATCTTCAGAAACTTTTATCTGGTGATATTTATTTTTAGATTTCCCATACGTAAAACGTATTATGCAATAAAAAAACCAATCTATGTTATTTCTAGTCTAATCCTCAGTTATTTGGCCTTGATGAGGAAAGATTTATGAAATGTAGTTTTCACTGTATTGCCCTTTCAAAGAAGACTGCGATGAAGCAGCATTACCGATAAGGGGGGGGGCTGGCCGTTTAAAAGTTGTTTGTCAATAACATTCGCTTTTCGAATTTGTCAACGCAAGTGTTCTACGTATATCGAATCAGTCTAAAGAACGATAAGATTAATAAATTTAACGGAGTAAACCCGATATGTTTTATTTCGATATACTGTTTATTCGTTCCTGAGTAACGGAAAAAATGGAAGAGAAAGAAAGCGTTCAGCCGTATCAGAGAATTCACAGAAAGTAATGACTAGTTAACTCTATTTTCTTAAAAATAACAGCGTCCTCAGTAGAAAAAAATTCTTATTCTATTTGTATCTTTAATGTTTAACGAAGCATTTTAAAACCCCCTTTTATGTGATAAAATTTGCCAATGCATTTATCTGTGCTTAATTTATTTTTCAGTGTATTACAGTCATGAACAGTTTTTTTTTTTTTGGTAAAATGTTTCATCTAAAAATTCAGATATTTTCTTTGAAAGGGAATCATTAACTTGACTACCACAGCGGAAAACTGATGTTACTGAATTATGATAGCACCTGAAACGGTAGGGAGAAAGACGTATTCAATATTTATCTTAGAATTGAAATATTTAGTGTTTTCGTGCTGACCAGAACTCGAAATGAAGAAACTTCTACAGATTTGATTAAAAAAATTAAACTTATTTTACAGGAAAATCTGAATATTAAAAGAAAGGATGCACTTAATATTTCACAAGCTCAGAAATAAAATACAAAAGCACATAGTTTATAAATATATGTTTAGCATTATATTGATTTTAAATTTCCAGTTTTGTGATAATCTTTGGTTTAATCATTAAGCCAGATTTACATTATATTAGCATCAACCTACAAATAACATCCTGTCATGATCGTAAAGATGTCATATGGGTTCCGGTTAGCGTTCTATCTTTTTAGTTGCAATTGTATTGGTCAGAATCAACGAAACAGAACTCTATACCTAGGTCCTGCTTCTTAAATCTTAATGCCTTAAGCCAGTGGTGACCAACCTTTGGCCTATCGCGAGCGCCTTTCCAAAACATCAACATTTTTGTTAAACATATTTCCAATCTTATGTCATACATCTGAATTTCGGCAAATGGGTTTGAGATGAATAATAATATTGGTTGAACTTTATGGAAATCAGAGACGCGAAGTTCAAAATTATTTTTCAGTGCATTTAGGTTTTCCGAGTATTTCTCTGTTTCAATTACCTTGTGATTATAAATATGGCTTGATAAATTCTGAAAATGAGCGACATTTTTTTTTTCATCTGATTTATCCACAAATTTACCTTTATCTGAAAAGCAGTTACAGTCCCAGTCAATTGAAAAAAGGTTTTTCTATTCCCTGGGGATCTTCGTTCAGTTTGTTCAGTTTAGCTGTTATATACGTGAGAAAATACAGATCGGATAATTAATTATTATCGTCCAATTCTTTATAATTTTCGTTTCCGGATTCCAAAAACTACATTATTGGAGAAAGAAGTTCTACAAATCGTTGAGGTACTTTGCCACTGCTGAGCCATCTAACATCGGAATGAAACAATAAGATTCCATGTTCGCTACCAGTTCATCAGTCAACAATCAATTATTTTATAACGTCTTGCAAGATATCTCTTATGACTACAAATGCTTACCATATTTTAACAATTAAAGAACTATAAATGAATGGTTATTTTTAAAATATTTTTTGTTCACAGTACCTAATCGGGCTGACGAGCACATACAAAACGATCGGCGAGCACAAGGTTGGGCACCGCTGCCTTAAGCGTTCAGTATATTTGCCGCTCCATATAAATTAGACGTATTAATAGCAATCCAAAGCGAAATATACCTTTCATCAGACGTTGCTCATGGGAACAACAAAGTTGCAGACTTCCGAAAAGCGACATGTACATCGCGTGTGCCAGGAACAAGCCTTGGTTGCATCACAAGCTGTTGTAAACTCACTGTCGCCGCAATAAGAACAGTTCCTGCAGAATTTAGTACTGTAAGGGAATAACGAAATTGTGCCCCCTAAATGCTTTTTTCAATCTTTTTCGCGTTCATATCTAACTTAATATATTTTAAAGCTATATGCTGATGTATTTTAAAAAGTTTAGCTTCGTTCCATTGATTGTAAGATAACTAATATAATAATATATTTTAACATGACCTGTTCTTCTTCAAAAAAGAATTACAGTTTCAAAAAGATCGAAACGTGGAGAAAGGAAAGCAAGAACGCGATAATTCTCTTGATTTAGAAAAGTGATTTAAAACACGAAAACCGGTAAGTTTATGAATGGTCAGTTTTGAGAGTAGCAGCGATAGAAAACCACAAAATGAAAGGCAGGAAAGTGTGTAAACTAGCATAAGTACGGGAATACAGTAAGATGTGTTGTGCACATGCAAATTTTGGATTTTCGAAGTTGTTCGTCACGTGATAGCGCTGATATAAAGGGACTGACGTATATTTGACCATTGCTGTTCGAAAGCAAAATTTAACAGGAAATAATAAATCGAACTTGCAATTTTTGGTATGTCTTCCTGACATCACTTAGATGATTTTACTAGTGACCGTATTATTGGGAAGATTGACGAAGGGCGAAAAGTAATAGCTGTTGCTAGGGAATTCGACGTCAGCCACAGTATTTTTTCAAAGCTTTGGATATAATTGCAAACAAATGGAATGAGTAGTAGTAGTAGTAATAACGGAGCCAAGTGGGCACCAGCGCTCTACCATTACAGTTGATCAGTTCTGCCCACGTCCGCCCTTGTCTAGTATTTATTAATTCTAAAATTTTTACATTGCCATATATTGTGGCTGATTTACAAATAAAGTTTACAATAATTGTATTCGCATTATTAATAACTTTACATAAATTTTGATTGGAGAATTTTCTCTAATGAATTTCTTTCTTTTGTAATTTCTCTTTATTTTAAACAGTCTATATATTATTTTGTTATCGTGAAGTTTCTCTTTTTTTATTTGTACCATTTCAACTAGAATGTTGCCTAAGTCCTCTTTCAAAATTCCTTTCCTTTTGCTGCAGTTCTTTCATGAGTTTCTCAGTTTGAAGGTTTCTATTGTACTCCTCATATTATACCTTATATATTGTGCTAATGTCTTCCAGAAGAGTACATTTTATTTCAAAAGTTTTTCATCCCTTCCCGTTGTATGTCACTGAATCCTGTCTGTCTTTGATCACACCGAATTACCATGAGTATGCTTTCTTGAAACTTGATTTTCTAGTTTATAATATCTTCATGACAATTTAACTACCAATGCGTCATGCCTTCATAATCGGGAAAAGTCAGTATTTATTTATCGTAATTTGAATGCATGTACATATTAAATGCATGTACATTTTAAATATAATATATATGATAGATACTTTTTGCTATAAATTAATCACTTTTTCAAATTATGAGCACTGATGTTATTTGCTTTACTCTATTACAGATTGCACTTATTACTTTACTTCTTTATTTATTGCACTATTACATCTTTTTTATAACTTGTTATATGAAATTATATTACTTGACATAAATCTGTGCCCCATTTTGTTAGGATGTCCATTATTTTTGTGAATTTTTGCACTGTGTATTTTTGTTTTACTAAGAATTTACCAAATGCTTGAATATTTGTTGTTGGCATTTTAATATGAAAATCTTTAGTGACTGGGCAGTTAGTAATGTATTGTTCAGGCGTTCCCAGCTAGCCACAAATACAGGTACTCGTGTTTGAAATACCAAACCTTTCGAAATATTCGGGGAAAGGTCCGTGGCCTGAAA